ACTTCTCAATAATTTGCTAATTAAATTGCATAGCATGTTACTTTTGTTGTTCATAATAGGCTGAAAACAGGGAATACTGAATCAGCCTGAGATTCCAAGCTATATACCATTTAATGTAATTTCAGGAATAGACAGCACTTCCTGAACAGCCCCAAGTATGTTAACAGCTATACTAACAACTAACCTTTTTGAGCTCATAACACTCAGTTACCCACAAGAGGAGACATATATTCAAATATAGGGATCTACTCTGCAAACAAGAAGAATATATTCAAACCTCGTCTTTTTTTGAATTACTGAGGTATATTGGAGGCCTGTTGCTTTCTCCATGACAACGCCCCAGACAACAAAAGTTGAGTTACCAATCAACCAGCACCCTTTCTTGCTGTTGTACAAATTGTTGTGACTGTTTAAAATTTGACATTCTTGTATTCAGCCTGATGAAATCAAAATGAAAAGTTTTAGCTACATTTAGCTTTGCAGCAATATTCAAGTTCTGTGCAGCCAAGCAATGCTTGCAAGCTGTACTATATTACACAGGATTCAAGAAATCTCCATCCTTTCAGATTGTTCCACTTTGATGGAACGTAATTCAAAGATCACAACACGCTGAATGTTCCTGGGAAGACTCGTGTTCCACGACTGGGACGGTAAGTGGGAAGCAGCCACCACCTTAGCCAGGTGCAGGTTCAGTGGGCTGGCTGCACAACAGTGCCTCTGCTCATTGTGGTCATATCTGAGATTGCATCTCCACGGACAGGGCACCCCAATGATTCTGCAGGCTCCTTCAGAAAATTACATGGGGTCATGGAACTGGGACCAGGCTGGCAGGTCCTGATTGGGCAAAGGGAGATTACATGGAAAGCAGGTGGCACATTCTTGCCTTGGGGGTAGCTAGCTATTTACCCCTCTGCCCACAAAATCATGACTGACAGAGCGCTCACTAAGGAGGGTCCCCTCCATCACTGCAATCTGCTGGAAGATGCCGTGTTTCAGCTTGTTTTACCCAATAAAAGTGGGCCATTGCATCAACACACATCGCTGGCAAAGCCAAGATGCTATGCAGACAGTAGGTGGCTCTCAATTACTCACTTAAATGGCTCAACTGACTGCCTGGAAGATGGCCCCATATTCTTGCCACTTTCAGTATGGCACGGTATCAGGAAGGACCCAGGGATACTGATGGCTCATTGTCGAATTCTGTTTGTTATATCTCCTATTAGAAATAGATATTTATATTTAAGGAATATGTAGAACTGGAATATGAAACTATTTGGGCATTCTAGATTCAAAGTATTTTGAAGGGACACATGATTTCTGGGACGTGTTTCCGCAGTAATTACTGAACTCAAAAGTTTAATACCCTCTGTTATCCACCTGCTGTTTTGGTTGGAAATCTTTGGAAAGCAAACAAGCAAAGCATAAAGAGGGAAAGACAACAAACTGTTTTTTAATGGCTTTATTATGGGCAGACTGATTTGGGATGCCCTGGCAACAGCCTTTGAACTAAAGCTGCTGTTTCAGTGCACACCTTGGTGTTTCAGTTAAAGAAACAAATCTCCAGGAATCTGGCAGAAAAAAAAGATGTCCTTAAAGAGAAGAAATCCTGCAGGAGGACAAGATGCAAAGCTCACTCTCAGCAAAACATCTTCTGGGAACTCCAGAGATTTAATAGCATCTTAGGTTTGTTTAGTACATCCTCATCAGTGGTGTGAACCTTTGCTTTTTTATTTATAAATTCTGTGTCCGATACCACCTCACTCACTATGACCTGAAGAAGGAGTAAGACTCCGAAAGCTTGTGTTTTCAAATAAACCTGTTGGACTATAACCTGGTGCAGTGTAAGTTCTGACCTATGCAGTCGTGTGTGATATGCACCTGTGATTACAACAGTTTATTCCGGGTCTTGACCAAGACATGTTGGTTAAAGCATGTGGATCGCTTTCCACTGCTGTAAGGTATGTGCTGATGAACCTCCACTCATACACACTAACAGCCACACACAGCTCGGTGTAGAAACTGGAGGCAGTAGAAAAGAAATGACTATTTGTAACTTTATGGTTGACAAATGCAAAACATGACCTCATTCACTTTACCCACCACTATACTATTTTTATAGCAGTTTCAACATCCTCACTACACATAACAGAAACCAAAATACCCAGCAAGCAACTTCCTTCTCCCCAGGCTCCACATATCCCAGCACAGTCTCTGGACCCAAGTATATAGAACCTGTGTGGCACCAGTTTCATTCTTAACCCACACCTTGACTGGATATATGTTTCACAGGATCACAGAAATATTTCAGTGCAGAACACACCATTCAGCTCATCGCATTACCACTGGCTCTTTGAGCATTTTACTTACTGCCAATCTCCTGCCTTTTCCTTGTACACCCTGCACTTATTCCTATTTATTTCTATTTATATTCTTGAATGTCACCACTAAAATAACACCAATTAATATTTAAACAACAACACTAATAATAATCACACAACAGTGGGTCCAGAGATTTACAAGCATGTTGCCAGGAGTGGGAAATTTCAGCAACGGACAAAAGCTTGAACAGACTGCTGGTTTCGTTTGGACCAGAGGGGAGTGAAGGGAGATTTCATTGGGTTGGACAGAATTAAGAGGAGCTTAGATGGGAAAGATCTATGCTTGTTGGCAAAGAGGTCCAATGAGGAGATGGGAGCGCATGGGGCTGTGGTGGTGTGGGTGGATATAGAGTATTAGGTAGAAGGTTTAGAGGGTAAATTGATGAGATTTGTTTTTCACCAAGAGAACAATGGGAGTGTAAAGCTACGAGTGGTGGGGCCAGAAACCATTGAAACATTTGAAATGTATTCCAATATGGACTTGACATGCTGTAGCCTATAAAGCTACAGACCAACAGCAGTAAAGCTGCATTGTTGGTGGTGGTAGTGGTTATTTGGAGGTGGGGGGGGCACAACTTTTCCACCTCTACCCTGTCAAATCCTCTAAAAGTCTTATATGTTTGAATAAGATCGCCTTTCATTCTTCTAAATTTCAATTAATACAGACCCAAACTACTCAACCTCTCCCCATAAAGCAATCCCTCGTTATCTGGTTCACTTGGCTGATACCTTCTCTGGACTGCCCCCAGTGCCAGGATAGGGGGTCCAAAACTGTTCACAATATTCCAGCTGTGGTCTGACTACTGTCTTGTCTAGTTTTAGCAAAACTTCCCTAACTTTTATATTCCACTCCCTTTGAAATAAAGGTCAACATTCCATTTGCCTTCCCTATTACTCTCTGAACTTGGATGCTAGCTTTTTGTGATTCATACACAAGGACTCCCAAATCCTTCTGTTCTATAGTTTTCTGCAGTCTTTCCACATTTAAATAATATTCAGTTCCTCTATTCTTCCTGCCAAAGTGCATCACCTCACATTTCCCCATATTATGTTCCATCTGCCAAGATTTTACCCATTCACTTACCCTGTCTGGCATCCTCACCATTTACCTTACCACCTATTTTTGTGTCATCCTCAATCTTGGCTCTAGTACATTTGCCTTCCTCATCCAAGTATTTAACATAGATTGCAAATAATTGCGGGCCCAGCACTGCTCCTTGTGACACTCCATTAGTTAAAGGTTGCCATCCCGAAAATTCCCCCTTTATCCCAACTCTGTCTTCTATTAGTTAGCCGATCTTCTATCCATGTTAATTTATTACCTCCAACACCATGGGCTCTTATTAAGTAGTTTAATGGTGGCACCTTATGAAACATTTTCTGAAAATCCAAATATATTACATCCACTGCTTCCCCTTTAACTATTCTGCCTGTTACCTCCTCAAGGAATTCTAGTACATTTGACAAAAATGATTTCCCCTCCATGAAGCCATGCTGACTCCACTTGCTTATATTATGCATTTCTTACCAATCACACGCCAGCTGAAATATTTCCCTGAGTTGAGCCATGGTGAGGGTCTAACCCAAACTTCACAAACATTTTCCTCTTCCCTC